CAACTTTATGAGCCCCTGGAAACTATGAAAGAAGCTTTTCCACTGTTTATTTGGTCATAAAAGTGCTTCACCCACTAAAGCTCTTCTGTACTCTCTCTATCAACACTTATCTTCACATTTATATTTCGAAGTATCACATTATCTATTATATACATCTGCATTCTTCTTCTAGCTTTAACTTTTTTGCGCCTTGTCCATTCATACATGAGATCTGCACGGCATATTGCATCTTTTAAATCGGTTTCTGTTTTTTATATATTCCTGTTTTTTTCTGTTTTTATCCAGATATGCAAAAAGCTCATGTATTCATCAGGAAACATGATGTTTACATGTATACATCTGCTTTCCATGCTGTCTTTTTTCAATGCTGCGCATTTCCTGCTTTACATTCCTTGAGACACACAATTCTAAAAATAGAAAGCTGACTTTATTTTCCAGTGTTGACAAGACCATACTGTATCATGTCTGACGACAAAGAATGCTGTGGTCAGAGATGATGAGTATGCATTCTAAATAAAGGCACATTATTAAATATGTAAAAATGACACACTGTCTTCTTTCTAATGATCAGTAGGACCCAGAATATTTTTGTGAATCTTAGGCCTGGATCTATTTTAGGATGTTAATGTTATAAGAAAATTAAATAATAACCAAAATGGCTTCTTTGAGCAGCCGTCCTTTAGTTGGAAGGTCTATTTGACAGAAGAAAATGAATATGCTGTATTTACACATAATTTCATTTATGAAATGTGTCATTGACATATTGATCTTGTGCTGGTTCAGTGGTTAGTGCCCCCCTCCCCCCCCCAGTCTGCATCTATGAGTTTGAGTCCTGCCTTGGGTAGAGTGTGGTTGTCTTTAACATTGCATGGTAACAAAATGGGCATGTTTTTCTTTAATTGTGTGATAATAAAGTTCCTTTATAGACATCAGTGCTGGTACTATAAGCGCTTTACATAGCATGAATGCTCAGAGCGAATTCTGCCTCTCTGGCTCTGCATCGCACCTCATAATGCGGAGTGGTTCCTATTCCATGGCGTTCCCCATATTGGGTGGATATTTATGGGTGTTTCCTGTGGGAAACTACAAGAGTGTCAGACATATTGCTTTTCAGTTGCTCGTGGGAGATTAATGTTCAGAGGAAACAATGAAAAATGATTGGTTCAGAGAGATAACCAATCAAATTGTAGAGGAGGGGTCCATGCAACTACAGGAGGTGGGATCTGATTTGAATTGTCCCTCTTTGTAAGCCCTTATTATTAATGAAATCTTGACAACTTAGTAACAAATAGGCTTTAATTGGAGCTAAGGGGTAAAATGTAATATGGATGAAAAGGGACTTTAAGATAGAGGGCATGGGATTATGGGTAACTTATTCCTGACAATATAGAGTGAAGGTTCAAGTCTCAGGACAACGCTCCCGTCATACCACTTAACATGGATGTCTCTGGGTGGAATCCCAGAATGCATAAATGGGTAAAAATTATCATTTGCTGCGAATAAAAGACTGGTTACAGTATATGCCTGTCTGGCTGATTATATGCAGGAATGTGTGTGTGTTAGGGTGATCACCTAATCCATGTCAGGAGGGACACTATGAGCTACTTCAGCTTTTACGAACTACTTTAAAGCTGAAAGGGTTCTGTGCTCTGCTAAAATGTTTGATTAGTTCCTAGATTGAAAGACTCATCCAGCTGTTTCGCATTAACATTACTGACACATATGCATGATTATAGGAGACTGACCAATCAGCATACGGCAAGAACCCAGTGCTTAAGTGAAATCCTGGTCCTTTTAATATTGAAATGTATGAAATGGTAGTTTACAAATCCTGTTGTAGCTCATAGTGTCCCTCCTGGCATGGATTAGGTGGTCACCCTAGTGTGTGTGTGTGTGTGTGTGTGTGTGTGTGTGTGTGCGCGTGTGCTAATGGCCATATCCTACTGTATACAGATGCTCCTTGTTTTATGATATTTTGACTTTTACACGATGGTGAAATAACGATGCACATTCAGTAATCATCAAACTTTGAATTTTGATCTGTTCCTCAGCTAGCGACATGCGGTGAGAAATGCCGTGCGATACGCTGTGTGAAATGCCGTGCGATACGCTGTGTGATACGACGTGTGAAATGCCGTGCGACACGCTGTGTGAAATGCCGTGCGATACGCCGTGTGATACGACGTGTGAAATGCCGTGCGACACGCTGTGTGAAATGCC